TGAAGCAAGAAGACGTAGACGATACAGCAGATGAGTTTTGTCAAAAATACTTACGTTCGTCTTACCCCACCAGTAGTACCTACAGTCGTAACACAGGAACTACAGCAGCTAAGTACAGAGGATGGGAAACTCCGAAATATACGTCTGTTAATCCAGAGGTACGAGGTGATCGACCAAAGGATGGTAGTTATGACCTGCACAAAGACACTTGGAGCAAGGGCTCTCTTGATAAAGATTATCAATTTTACCACAGATTTTCTACACCTAGGCCACATTTTGAATTACCGGAAACCAAGGCCACGACAACTCCAACAAGTGTTACATGGAGCTTCACAAAAGACAGTAGTCCACTGGCAAGTGTATACCAAAGTAGAGGAGCCGTAGTAACGCCGAACCAAAGCACCAGTAGTGAACAGTTTGGGAAGACTGTGATGAAACCGGCTACATTTGATGTAAATGGTTCATGGATAGACTATAGGGCGCATTTTGAAGCATGCAGTAACATTAACATGTGGAACCCGAGACAGAAGGGACTGTACCTTGCCGCATCCTTACGGGGACAAGCCCAGACGGTATTAGGTAATATGCGACCAGATAATGCATGTGCATATCGGGATCTATGTGAGGCACTGGAGTCAAGGTTTGCCCCAGCCAATCAGACCGAACTGTACAGAGCAATGTTACGGGAGAAGCGTCAAAAACCAAAGGAAACCTTGCCTGAGCTAGGTGAGAGCATACGAAGGTTGACTCATTTAGCATACCCCACAGCTCCATGTGAGGTGACTGAAATGATAGCAAAAGATCAGTTTGTTGACGCTCTCACTGATTTTGACATGAGGTTAAGAATTCAGCAATCGAGACTCAAATCACTTAATGAGGCCATACGACTTGCTGTAGAAATTGAGGCATTTTGTAGGGCTGAGCGTCAAAGGAGACAAGAATCTGGATTTGCCAGGGGAGCATTAGTAGAAAAAGCTACGATGAAAGAACCAGAGAGCAACATACGGGGTGATTTAGAGGAACTGAGAGTAGAACTGAGAACAGCTCTTACGGAAAATGGAGGCATTGGCTGACGCCAAACTAAAAGAAAAGAACTCGAATGACAAGCAGAAAATTCCTCCCTCTGCAAGTAATTTTCCATACAAGTGTCACAACTGCGGAAAAAGAGGACACCAGGCAAAGAACTGTTTTGCAAAGAACAAGGTGGATGGTGACCAAGGTAAGAACCAAGTACAGAGGTCTACAGTAAGCAATAGTGTAAAACAAACTGAAAGGACGAATAAAGATGCCCAGGGTACCAAAGGAGCTTCAAGTTCCCTCACACAAACAAGAATGGATATACAAGCCGGTCTTTTTGTAAATGCACTTGTGAATAAGGTACCATGTAATTTCTTGGTAGACACGGGAGCTACCTTAACAATAATTTCAGACGCTATTTTCAAAAAGATTGCCAAGGAGGACAGAAATGAACTTATTCCCGTTACCCAGAACGTCATCCTAGCCGATGGAGCTATGCTAAAGGTAAAAGGGAAATGCAATCTGCACATAAGTCTCGGAACATGTGAATTTCACTTTGAGGTAATGGTTGCCGATATAAGTGCAGAAGGTATCCTTGGTTTGGATGTCTTAAAGTGGAATAAATGCTTGATAGATGTGACATCAACGAAGATGCATATTGGAGACACGGTGCATGATCTGTTATTAAAAGGGCACATAGGATGTTTCCGTGCGAGTATCAAGGAAACTGTTTCTATACCTCCCAGGAAACCAGAGTTCCTGTGTTCCATTTGTCTTCATCGACTTCCATCGCATGAAGAGTTGAGAGAACATCTCATCACTTGTGTATCTAAGGACATGAAGAAAAGACAATACGAGTGTAGACTTTGTGATAAAGCCTTTGCAAAACCGTCACTTCTCGTCCGACATCAAAAGAGAGTACACACTACACCCACAGCAAACACATCTGGGACTGTTACTAGCAGTGTGGCTGCCGTGAGTGAAGAAATGGACGATGACCTGGCATGGCAGCAGGATCCAGGAGAACTCATCTTTGATCCCGACCTTGAATCTGGAAGAACCATTAGAAAAGCAACAGCACCTTGCTTACCTGGGATGAAGAGTAAAATTGTGGAAGAGAGTCCAGTCCCCAATACATCTACAGAAAGTGTTTTGGATAAAGACATTTCTGAGGATTCAAGTGCAGCTTCGTTGCCATTCCATTGTCCCTGTTGCAAGACTCTGAGTTCTAAGAGCGTGTACAAACTGATGGAGGCAGTCACAAGAAAACGGTAAGGGTCATCAGAAGATACAAGAAAGACGGAGAAAGCATTGAGAAGTTAGAGGAAGAAGTTTGGAACGCATGAGAACATGAGAAAAATGAAAACAGTGTTTGAAACAGTTTTGTGTACATATTGCTCAATAAGATACAAGAAGTATTTTTAATTTGATTTAAGGAAAGATATTCCCCCTTGTTAAAAAACGGTATCCATGTATATATGTAACTTTGTATGTTTGTCTACTTATAAGAAAAGTTAAAAAAAAAGAAGTTTAAGTTTGTTGATCATTTGCCATGCGAGACGCATGTTCATGGAGGCGTGGGTAGTGTAATGGGTAGCGTATTTGACCATGCCTACTATAGTCGAATCAGAGGGGATTTTGGAAAGTGGACTCTTCAATAGGCTGATCTCCCCTCTGAGTAAATAGAATGCTCCAAAGGTATATAAATGAGACGCTCGCAGCTGCAAGGCATTATTCTGACGGAATCAGTTGTAGAGATCATCAGAAGAAAACTGAAGAATAAAGCGCAAGGTAATAAAGGCATTATTTGAGAAATAAAAGAGCAAAGGTTAGAAGCAGTAGTGGAAAGAGAACAGTCTAGAGGAATTATGGTGAGGTACCAGGGCGAAGTAATTCTGCATAAGGGTGAAAGAACCTGGTGCTTCACTTTACAATAGGAACTCTGGCTGTTCCAGGAACACAGTGCAGGTTACCTTGCTTATGAACCACGGCCTACCATTGAAATTAATTGTACATAGTTCTAATCAATAATAACTCAGATAGAGTAAGAGGAAAAACATATATATATATATATATATTAATAAAGAACCCTTGTCCCTTGTAGAACCCAGTAGGTTTACAAGTTACAATAGTAAATAAATTGAAATTAAAATTTAAAGTAATTATTGCAAATTTCGAAGGAGTTACAAATACATGTATGGATATGTAAATCTACAAAGGTACACCTAGTATAAAATGAGCCGCTGGGATAGACATGTTTCAGTGGAAGGCTGAATCTTGACTGTCTTGGTTGCATTTTATGCAGGTAGTTGCGCGGTTTTTGTCAAATTATTTAAATTTTCACATGGCTTAATTTAGTTACAGATTACAATCTTTTATACCATAACTAGTAATGTTTAGTATAATTTATAGTATATTGTACATGTTGTATAAAAAAATATTTACTGTAATCATGGCGATAACAAATAGATTGTTTCGTTTAATAAAGAGTGGAAAGCTGAATCTTGACTGTCTTGGTTGCATTTTATATAGGTTGGGTTACATCTCCACTCCCAAACACCTGTTGGCAGCTCAGGTCCGCAAATTTAGGAACTATAAAATAATAGAAATAGCGGAATTGAGTCATCCAGGTACCTCCACAAAATCCAGAGAATGAGATCAGTCGGATTATGAAAAACGAGTAACACGCTTTTTAAATCCTTTTTATTTTTATAAAAATAATAGAGAACATTTACTTTTGATGTCAACAAGAAATAAACATGTAACACAAGTGAACTTGTGATGAAAAATTATTAAACGAAAGTAAAGCAAGAAAAAGTTAAAGTTTGTATTTTGAAAAATAAATCAAGTCAAGTCACATAAAACAAAGACGAGTTGTAACGCTCACACACGGACACACACACAAACGTTTTCGTAACTCGGAAAAGTCCAGAGAAAAACTATATTTTTCTTGATGACGGAATGTCCAGTGCATCAAATATTCACGTCAGGGATTGTCCACGGCGGATCTAAAACTAACTCTCTCACACAACGTAAGGGATTCACTCTAACTTCAATTGAAACACATTTACGCAATTATCACACATACAAGTCGGACACTCTTTGAGGTAGAGGATTGACACTAATTCCTTAAATAAATATTGAGTGACAAATTCCTTTTCACTGTCTAAACATTAATTGATTGATAAATAATTTTCGACATATGTTAAAAACAGGCTTTAAAAATAATTCGTTTTATGAATTAAAATTCTGTTACATTTTAAATAAATTTGGTAAAATTTACTTTGTGACACATGCGTATACATTTAGCAACCACTGAAAATAGTCGTTGCATAGCAAAGTCTTCTAATGCTAAAACTAGGAATAACCTATCTATATAATTTTAGGAAAAAGGTATCGTTAACTATAGTTTTGATCGTAAACTAATGTTTAGAGTCGGGAAATCTAGTTTCACAGAAAATTGTGCATCTCCATTACAAAATAAGAGATTCTGTTCATAAACTGTTCCTAAAATGTCAAACTACACTGTATGTTTATCTCACTTTTGTAAATAGCGTGCTTTGGATGTCTGTAATCTATATTTTACATATTTTACAAACTCTAAACTATAATTTACATTTGTTAAGAATAGTTTAGAGATGTAAACTAAAATTTACAAATCGTGAAACTATATTTATCAGATAAACTATGTTTTGCAGTCGTAAATGATTGCTTTAAGTGTTAATTATACTTAACGCTTGTATAAAAAAAAAAATATATTATTGCGTAAACTATAGTATACAGATGTGAAAAACAGATTATCATCGCTAACTATTGTTTACAATCCGTAAATTATAGTTTACAATTTTACAGTCGATAAATCTAGTATCAACTGTGAAACTATGATTAAAGCTTATTTTTTGAATTTGGTGTGCCATATAGACACTATATGAATTGAAATGTCGAGTCCCCGGAAATAACAATATATAATTCTTTAAGTACTTCAATCTTTATTACAATGAGTACATGTTATCAATTCAGTATATTCAGCCAACAAGATGTCCTGAAAATGAAGAGAATCCGTAACCGTACAGAGCTGACCCTGAATATTGAATAACTTTTACAGTGAGTCCCTTCGACAAATAATATATCATGTTACACATTCCCTGGGATTGGTACCTTGAACTGTAGGAATAACAAACTCCACTTACACCGTTCACTACAATACGAGTTATTAAAGTGTTGCTACTTTGTGCCATTATGGTTGCGGTTAACTCATAGTACCCAGACACTGGCGCCGTGAATATTCCCGTGGAGCTGTTGTAGCCGTCTCCTACATTAGTTATTACTTTGTTAAATTTGATAACTTCACCAGAAGAGAGAGACACGGTTGTAGTCGTTAACTGAGCGTGAAAAGCCACCACATCTCCATTGCATCCTAGAGTGGAAATTTTAGATGTTATAATAAATTAAGAAACAGAAAATGATATAAACTAATTTCAATTTAAAATAACTTATTTCGATTAGAAGAAAAATACTAGTATATTAAGTCTTATTAAGCTTGTCAAAGAAAAGAATATTTTGGAAATACCATTAAATTAAAATAAATACACGTTTTATTATCTGTTACATGTAGATACAGATGCAATTTGCTGAATTTTAATCTGTAACCATGACCGTGAAAAATTCTTTAAGCTACAATTATTAAAATTTCCAAAGAGTACTTGACCTTTAAAAAGCCAATATAATTGATAGCACCATATGTACCTTGATGAGCAGCTCTCTCTTCTCTGTGGTTATCCTGCAGTAAACCCAGGAGTTCCTCTGTCTCCTGAACTTCTTCACGAACGTCTTTCTCTAGCTTCTCCAGACGCAGTAAAAGGCTCTCATATTCTGATTCTGTAGCAGAAGCGTAAAAAAGTGAAAACAAAACAAACAATCTTAACATTGTTTTGACACTTGAAGAATGCATTATTATTATAATGACCTTGGTTTCTTAACCATTCGATCTTCTTGCGGTGGAGGTTATCTGCAGTCTTGAACTTTGATGCATTGACTGACGATTTTCTCATCATATGCAGACCTTTCGTGTTGACCTTTTTTCTGGCAGATGATCAGGTTGACATGAACATACTGTTACAGCGCAGTAAATTTCTTTTCATTGACCTAAGGTACAAATCATGCTTTAGGGTTGCCATTTCCTTTTAGTGCACAAATATTAGGTCATCCAAAAGTACTAACATTGTTTCAAAATAAACTGACATCCTTCAGCTGATAAAATTATGTAAATCACCGAGTTCTTGTTTAGTTTGTCTGTCCTTCAGGTTCTCGAAATCTATAATTCAATTTTCAAAAAAAGTCTTAACATACAGTGTTTCAAAATTTTTCTTTTTTAGTGGATTATATTTTCTGAAGTCACTTTAAAATTATCCGATTAAAGACAAATTTTCTGCATTAGAAAAAGTTCTGAAAGTTTGTAACTTAAAAACACAAAGTTTGCGTTTGACCAATTTCTTGTAAACCAGACAAGTTTGTGAATCAATCATGTTTCCATATGGTCTCATACATGTATTTTCAAAAAGAGCTCAAACTCCAAACTCATGCGGTTAAAAGGCTGGTATCTTAAATCCTGCATGGGGAATGAGCTTTGAAAGATGAAAGCTACAGATCCTACTGTTAAAATTCTGGCCGAGATTCAAGTTTTTTTGTGGATATATAAACAAGCACAGGTAGACCGAAATCCATTTTATATGTACTGTGTATATTTCCGTATCTCCAACTTTTGTAGTATATATATCAAATAACAATGTCGGTAATCTAAATACGTGTTTCTTTATTAACAAAGCAATAATAATTAAAGTAAATAACAACATAATTCTCTCTGGCTAACAAATCATTGTAAACAAAGTAGAAAAAAATCTTAACCAATGAACCAAATATATAAATGGTAAATGTTTAATAATGATCATTAAATACCCAAATCTCGGTTCTACACGCACTAAACATTAGACCAGTAAAGTGCAAAACAACAAATCCTTCAAATTTGCTAAATACATATTCCAGTTTATTTTAATAAATGATGGGAAAGTCTGAATTACTTCATCAGGTCAATTCCAAAATGTACAGGTTAAAGTGCAATTTGTATAAAACAGTAGTCTTGTACGTTTAACATGAAAATAACGAAGTGCAATATAATCTGAATGTCAAGTATTCTAGATAAATGTACTAATGAGTAACAACACAGTGTGTACAATCTTTTTTTAAATGAAAAATATAATTTTATCTTGTTTAAAGTTAGAGTTTAATATGTTCAATAACTGGAAATGTTTATAATAAGAGAAGAAATATCTTTTGCAAAAAATATCAGCCTGATTTTTAATATGAATTTATATTTAACTTATATACAAAATGATAATGCATTAAAATCATTGTGTTTATATAAGGTAATCATGAAAAATCCTTTATCTGTGAAACCTATAAAAACAGCACTGTATACATATATCACAGAAAATCTAGTCATTATCATTTGTTCCATTTGCTCCTATTGACAGATCAACACATGTGCAAGCATTGAAACCTCATTAACTAAAAAGTTTTTTCAACTCAACTGGAGGGAAAAAAATCAAGATATCCAAGGATTCGAGGGTTAAATTTTTAAAGAACAAGTGGGTTGGACTTCATAATAATCACTTCTGAATATTAATGGTATATTCAAGATATCAGAGTTTGGGGTATTAATGAAATTGAACTGTATAGTCCTAGCATTTGGTTTTAAAATTAAATACATTAATCTCAGCTATATTTAGGACAGTGCTGTACTTTCCCACTGGAAAATGACCTTAATTTCAATTCCCGATCTTTACAATTCAGAAAAAATAATTATTAATAGTATCTTCCCAGAAGAATGCAGCATTTTAGTTAAATATATTCCCCTTTCCAAGTCAGTTAATTTTTATTTCATAGATATGCAACTGGCTAGTTTATTGTATGTGACTATAAACTTGGAAATAAATGAATTTAAACTACCTGTGATCATTACTACTCAAAGTCCTATATTTGGGAGGGTGTGTACCACAATATACAATTAATGAATACTTCTAATAGACAAAAAGGACATGTTATCCTGGAATGTCATAAACACATACATACAAGGTAAACAAAAAACAACTGTAAAATGCTGTTAAAAGGTATTGCACATTGAGTGTATATCACAATAAATTGACTACATGTTATAATTTTTATGATGTTAAGCATGTCCTGTTTATAAACCAAGGACTTCCCTTAAAACATAATGTTTTAATATTTATATTACACAGTGTACTTATGGCAACAAGAATAGCTAACCCATCATCAACATACAGCAAAAAAGTGAAATATGAGATGTCAAAACAACAAACACTCAGCTATTATGCTACTGGAATTTGCAGTCAATATACAATTTCTAAAAATCACAGCCAAACATCAATCTCTTTTGTTCATGTCAAATAAATCCACAGCACTTTTTGACAACCTGGAAAATAAAGAATCACACAAATATTGTAAGACACATCAAAATATCAATCACATGAAAATATTAATTTGTTTTATATTCTTTACTTTATACAAACATTGAAAACAATTCTTTGCTCAAAAACTTCCACGAGACTTTGTAACTTACTGCTTAGATCTGTTGTCTGACAATACGCTCCATGCGATCCTGGATCCACCTCAGTATTTCAGGGTTAGGACTAGAGATCTCTATTGTACTCCCAGAGAATAATGAACCCTTTTTGTCCTTCAAAACGAAAAGTAATCAATTTTTATTATCTACCCTGAACGTTTTCTTACCTGTTAGTCTAGATCTTTTTAACTGTGGGAATATTTAAATTTGAATTTTTTTCATATAATTATACTAGAAGCTTGATATATTTTTTGGATACATATAATTGTGATAGCAAAATAAGTTTACTAGTTTTTCTATAGTCAAAATGATACAAAACTGAAGAAAATATTATTCAACTTCAAAGAATATTCACACTGTATAAAAGTTAATATTAGTACCTTGTGCCAATAATTATAACTTGATTTTGAGTTTGTATATTTGATTACTAGTACATGTATATCTTAAGTTAGGTCTCTAGACAAAACTAACCTTCAGAGTAAGGACTATTTTATTTTCTGTCACCTCTGGAATTCCCATAATCCTCTCCCGTTCTACTTCCCACTTCACGTCATACCCAGGGGAAAACCGATTCTTTGACAAGCTCAAAATTGTTCTGTAAAAACACATTTTACATATTAACATTTATTTTCTTATAAAATAATCAAATATCAAATTCAGAAGCTCTGAATTTTAATATTCATATGTAATGGGAATTAAATTAAAATTTAAATCTGTTATAAGATACAATTGCATAAGTACAGACCCTGAGACGTGCTACTACCCCACACGCTCGCTGCACGAACGGTACACGAACGCTACACGGTTTGCACGAAACGCTGCACGGTTTACACGAAACGCTACACGGTTTGCACAAAATGCTACACGGTTAACACGAAACGTTTTGCACGAAATGCTGCACGGTTTACACGAAAGGCAGCACGAAACGCTTTGTACACGTTTCTCACACGCTTTGTGCACGATTCTCGCACGGTTTGGATTTTTCTACTCGGAATATCTCGGGCATTTTTACCGCCTTATCAATAATTCAATGAAAATCACTCAAAAAGCCACATTAAGCAGCTGTTTAAATTAAATTTAGTACACTTGTATTATAAAAACCGATAGAAATATTTAATACTCTGACAGTTGTAATTAATTGATAAATAATTGTCAGTTCGAATTTATTTATTTATTTATCCAACTGTTTAAAAACGAAATGCCGATATCGTGAATGACTGTTTAATAAAATACATTTTTTAGATACAGGTATTAGTTATTGATTTCAATGTAATATTTTTACGAGTATAATTTGATAAATTGATTTAATAATTAAATTGAACACAAATTCGATTTCTCACTGCAGGAATATAACTCATTGATTTTTAATAATATTGATTATATTGTGTTTGATTTCTGAAGGCGGATTATTTTTTGTGATTTTGATTTTAAATTATAAATTAAATTTGCCTATATACTGTAATAACGATTATTGATACATTTTTAAAGATTTTTTTTACGCAAGCATTATCAATAGGAGGGAAACCGGTAAAGGGGGGGGGGGTAATGTGATCTATTAATCTATTATATTCTCTTTCTCTTTTTACATGAACCTTAACATCAGCATGCCCATCTTACTGTAAAATCCTTCATTTCAAAACAGGACTAAACGTATGTTTATATGTGTACATTTATTAATAGTCGCGGCATTTGACTATACATTGTTCATACAATATAGATCAAATCTTAAAATTGACACCGGCATTCAGGTATATTACAAGGGAACTGAAATATTTTAGATGAAATAAAAAGTACGTGAGTTATAAAACAAATAATATACAATTATTCATGATTTACTCCTAAGCTTTTCTTACATGATATTCATAAAAAGACTACCAAATCAGTTCTGTTTATTTTTTACTGTTTACGGCTAGAAATTCTGATTTACAAATAAAAGATGAAATCCGCTGATTTATAAGTTGTACCCATCAAATATTTATAGAACCATTTTATTTAAAAATAAATTAAATCCAGTCGTAATTTTCAGGTGTCATTAAGCCGTGAACTTAACATGTACATATAGCAAAACAGGTTTTCAGTTGAATTGCACTCGGAGCCCGTGATCGCTGTTGTAAATGACCTTGATCACAGTTGAAAGGTGGAAAGAAGATTCCAATAAATTTTTAAGGGGTGTATCTGCGCATACATTTAACAACAAATTTAAACAAAAATAGAAAACTAAGCATTTAATTAAACTAACATTAGACTGAAAGCTACAACAAAAAATGAAAGACTGTACTAGCAATTTAATTTACCCCCCCCCCCCTCGTTTATAAAGATATGGTCGTCAGTGCATGTGAATTAAAATTATAAAATCAATTTTTAACAATAATGAACAACAAGTTTTATGTATTAAAAGATATGAAATGACAAATCGTTTCAAATGTAAAGACAAGAGCGGAGTCCTGATATATTTTAGATTTAAATAAAAAAAATATATATTACCGGTATTTCTTTCTTTCTTTGAGAAAAAATATTTAAGAAGTCACGATCGCTTTGATACATATAGTATATTGAATACAATGCCCTTAAAATTGTTGTACATAGCTGATTTATCGGAACACATTTTCTATAGAAGGAAAAGAAATCAAACAAATATAAATCATACATTACCGTTTATTTTCATTTTGTTGTTCCATTTTTTTTTTTTGTTTTTACTCCTATAATATCACAAGCATAACTAATTCAATTATAAAATACTAATAGAATTTTACATCCTGACCCATCGATAGCCATATTTAAAATGAAATGACATCCGAATGAATCTTACACGATTCTTGCACGAAAGTCGCACGTTTCTCACACGGTTCTTACACGAAAGTCGCACGTTTCTCACACGCTTTTCGCACGCTCGCTACAAGGTTTGCACGAAACGCTTTGGAGCTTACACGAAACGCTGTACGGTTTACACGAAACGCTACACGGTTTGCACGAAACGCTGCACGGTTTACACGAAACGCTACACGGTTTGCAGGAAACGGAAAGCGCACGAAAGCCACACGCTTTTTTGGGGTAGTAGCACGTCTCAGGGTCTGTATATAATAGGAATTATTCACAGGCATCTTGTTTCAAATATCATGAAGCAAAGAATCGATATACTGTGTGCTTTTTTAAGTGAATGATGTTGAATGTAAGAGTAAAAGAGAACTCTGACCTGTCAGTGATAAAGAGGAGATCTGCTCTGTCATCATAACTCAGAGGAGCGAAGTCTACAAAGATCCCGGAGGATCGCTGCTCATCCCGGAGTCTGTGTAGGAGAAAGTTACCCTGGGCCCTGTACCACGAGTAGGGCTCTAAACCCTGGGTATAAAAAAACATAGATCATGTTGTATCTTATGTATTAATACATTATTTTAAAAAGAAATGTATTTGTATTTGTCTTTTTGATATTAACATTAATTGGCTAGTAAGTTTAGTCAATAATTAAAAGACTATGGTTATAAACAATTTGATAGTATTCCAAAGGAATCTCGAATTTCAACCTACATGGTAAGGGTTAATAAACCTGGGTAATCTCATTCTTATGGCTACTACATAATTCTCAGCAGACCTGTCAATAAAAAAAACAGATGAACTATCAATTTTCAAAAAAAAACAAAAACTACTGGATTCGGTGGATCTGAGGAAGACACAGCATAAATTAAAGGATATACTACTAGGCACATGTGCAGGTACATGTACAATGTAAACAGATAATATGTTATTAGCCTAGCTAGGGCTTAGATAGAAAACCAAGTTATTGGTATGTAATTTTTTGAAATTTTAATAAAAATATTCAAGTATAAATACACCACATGTGTTGAAGAAACATATTTTTCGTTTAAAATTTTTTTAACAAAAAAAAAGGTCTTAGTATATTTGACTATATTTAATTTATAAATGACCAATATGTAAGGTATGTATCAGTATTTGTTTTACCTGCGGACTCCATCAAAGGCCAGACTGACCATGTCCATCACACCCCCCAGGGGCTGAGTGACCAGTCCCAGTAACCCCTTACCGATCCCCTTAAAGAACCCCTCAACACCCTCCTCAGAGGCACCTACAAATAAATACAGAACAATGACAATACAAGGGATTTACAAGTATTCAATATAATTAAGAAGTTATAGGCAAAAGTCCAAAGTATAAAATGAATGTACAAATAAATGTATATTCCAATCATATGCATTCATTTGCCAACCGTTTGTTTAATGAATTCCTGAAACACCTTTTTTTTAGAGAAATTCAAAGCTCCTAGCTGTACAAAGTAAATTAAAAATAAAAAAATCTTTTATTTCAACTAATTTACTTTTATATTAATTTTTATTTATTTTTACATTTTTTCTAAAACTACAATTCAAAATAAATTGATTTATGGTCTATCCCTACTATAATTAATAATTAAAATAAGCCTACCATGTACAGGATCTAGCACCACCCCCAGGAGACCAAACTTCATCCCCGACAGGAACCCCTTCCCCGCCATAGCCATGCTGTGTGGGAGATTCCGGGGCTGCTGCTGTAACCGACGCACTCTTCTCTACAAGGTCAATAGAAACCAATTCTACTCAGCTCATATACAGTAAAATGCAGCTTCTTAGAAGATTATCTTTTTGAACATTTCAAATGTTTGAAGCCATATGGCAAGTTTCATAATCCTGGAAAATTAACAATCAATCATGCAAACATCCCTTTTAACAGTGCATTTGTTGAGAGAATATTTTTACTACATCTTTTAATTCTACAGTACCTAAATGTATCCAGGAAAGAAGAAATGAGAAGGAGCAAAGCAAAAAAGTCCCTACCTTTTGGAACTCGTCATCCATGGATAAGTAAGCCAGTGTGTTCCCAGAGTTCCTGTAATCCTGGCAA